CCCCGCATAGTAGATCACATGATTGTCTGATTCAAAATGGCCAAAACCAGTCCATTTCAGCTCATTAATGCCTAGGATGTCAATCTTTATGCATTCCATTTCCTTTTTGACAACTTCCAATTTTCCTAGATTCATACTTTGTACATTCCATGTTCCAATGATTAATGGATGTCTGCAGCTTTTTCTCTTCAATTTGAGTGGTGCCACATCAGTAAATGTACGTCTCAAAAGCTTTACCTTATTCCTAGGACTAAGGCTGGGTTTACTTAGATGATGCAGCTCTTTTCCAGTCCTATTCTGAGAGCCTTCTAACCTAATGGGACTATTCATAAAGTTGCACAGTAATGTACCAAACAGTGTTTCTTTGCTATTCATAAGGTTTTCCCTGGCCAATTCTTTGAGAAGTGGATGGCTCCTCCTTCTTCCTAGTCTGTCTCAGTCTGTAAGTTGTGCTGATACTTGTGCACCATGTGCATCCCACTGGGTTTGAAACACCAGTGGCTCAGCCTCAAAACTCACATCAACACTTCACCACGGTAGAACAAACCGACAGACAAGTTTGTCTCCCTGTGGAAAACCTCTTGTACCACCCTTACATGGGTCCCTGAAGCTGACTCCTCCTCTGTCTGGATTCCTGGACCTTTTAATCCCTTTTCTCCTGCTCTCCTGCCCTGCTGCTTTGGGTGTGCCTGAATTCCCTCTCCTCACCTGGATCCCTGCGGCTGACTGCTCCTCTGTCCGGGTTCCTGGCTTTTTATCCCCTTTTTCCTGCTCTCCCGCCCTGCTGCTTTGGGCGTGCCTGAGTTCCCTCTCCTCACCTGGATCCCTGTGGCTGACCAAAGTAGGTGAGACAAAATCTGGCCATTCTCACTTCCAAGGAGCATTCCAGCTGCACTTCTTCCAGGACAGATTTGTTCATTCTTCTGGAAGTCCATGGTATTTTCAGTATTCTTCACCAATACCACAATTGAAAGGCATCAGTTCTTCTTTATACATTATTCAGCTTTCACATGCATATAAGGTGACTGAAAATACCATGGATTGGATCAGGACTACCTTAGTCTTCAAAGTGACATCTTTGCTATTTAACATTTTAAAGGGTTTCGTTGCAGCAGATTTGCCCAGTCCATACTTCCTCTGATCTCTGGACAGCAGCTTCCATGGGTGTTGATTGGGATCCAAATAAAATGAAATCATTGACAACTTCAAACTTTTCTCCATTTATCATGATGTTGCTTATTGGTCCAGCTGTGAGAAGTTTTGTTTTCTTTATGTTGAGGTGTAATCCATACTGAAGACTGTAGTCTTTGATCTTCATCAGTATGTGCTTCAAGTTATCTTCACTTTCAACAAGCAAGGTTGTGTCAGCCATCTGCATATCACAAGCTGTTGATAAGTCTTTCTCCAATCCCAATGCCATGTTCTTCTTTATACAGTCCAGTTTCTTGGATTATTTGCTCAGCATACAGACTGAGTAAGTATGGTGAAAGGATACAATGCCCTTCCTGATTTCAAACCATGCAGTATCCTCTTGTTCTTTAGAACAGCTGCCTCTTGGTCTATGTAAAGGTTTCTCATGAGCACAATTAAGTGTTCTGGAATTCCCATTCTTTGTGACGTTATCCGTTAATTTGTTATAATTAACACAAGTTGAAAGCCTTTGCATAGTTAACAAAATACAAGTTAACATCTTTCAGCTATCTTTCCTTTCAGCAATGATCCATCTGACATTAACAGTGACACACCTCATTCCATGTCGTCTTCTGAATCCATCCTGAATTTCTCGAAGTTCCCTGTCAATATTCTGCTGCAACCATTTTTAAGCTATCTTCAACAAAATTTTACTTGCATGTGATATTAATGATATTGTTCAATAATTTCCACATTCTGTCGGATCACCTTTCTTTGGAACAGGCACAAATAAGGATCTCTTCCAGTCAGTTGGCAAGGTAACTGTCTTCCAAATTTCTTGGCATAAATGAGTGAGTGCCTCCAGTGCTGCATCTGTCTGTTGAAATGCCTCAATAGGTATTCTGTCAATCCCTAGAACATTGTTTTTCGCCATTTACTTCAGTGTAGCTTGGACTTTTGATCATATGCTACCTCATGAAATGGCTGAACATTGATCAATTCTTTTTGGTACAGTGATTCTGTGTATTTCTTCCATCTTCTTTTGATGCTTCCTGCACCACTCAATACTCTACCCATAGAATTCAATTTTGCAATTCAAGGCTTTAATTTCTTCTTCAGTTCTTTCAGCTTGACAAATGCTGAGTGTGTTCTTCACTTTTGATTTTCTAACCCCAGGTCTTTGCACATTTCATTATAATACTTTACTATGTCTTCTTGAGCCACCCTTTGAAGACTTCTCTTCAGCTTTTTCATTTCTTCAGTTCTTCCATTTGCTTTAGCTACTCTCTGTTCAAGAGCAAGTTTCAGAGTCTCTTCTGACATCCATTTTGGTCATTTCTTCCTTTCTTGTCTTTTAAATGAACATTTGCTTTCTTCATGTATGATGTTCTTGAGGTCATCCCATAACTCGTCTGGTCTTCAGTCACTGGGGTTCAGTAAACTAGGTCTTTGAAAATATCATCTATCTGAACTTAAAATTAATGCATACTTAGAAGGTTATCTACTGAGCCAAGTGCTGAAAACTCTGTCAATTTGCTTAAAAATTATTAAGTGACTAAAAATTTTCTGTCATCAAATATAATACATATAGAAATATGTATTATTATAATGCATATAGAAATCAATCACAAAGATTTAAATATTTTGTGCAGGACATGCGTTATCATCATATTCTTTTGTGGACCATGGGATTCCACTACTTTTTTTGTCTCTTCAATTGGCTTGTCAGTGCATGTGTGTGTTCTCTAGGATCTAAAGAATATTACCTCAAATAAAAATATTTAGATATCCAGTTACAGTAACCAATCTCCCAGAGAAGTCAAAGGAAAATAGGAAGTTGGTAGAAAGTAAGAGTCTGATTTCTCACCTCTTTAACACCTTTCAGTGTGGTGCTCTCTCAATATTTCACAGGAAAATCTAGAGGCTCCTGACTTTCTCAGTCCTTCTTAGGCTCTCTGGATGCAGATTTAAGTACTGACCATTGAAGTTCCATTCAAGCTTAAGATTCTCATCTTCTGCATTAATAAATGGAAAAAATGTGTTGTAAACTTAAAAATTATTGTGTTGTGTTGTTGTTGTTATTTGCTGTCGAGTCGGCCCCAACTCATAGCAACCCCTCCTTGGGTTTCCGAGGCAGTATCACTATGGAAGTAGGATTGCCCAACCTTCCTTGCTGATGTGGCATGACTCAAAATGGGAAGAAACAGCTGAAAACATACATTAATAATTAAATGTGGAATGTACAAAGTATGAATCTAGGAAAATTGGAAGTAGCCCAAAGCGAAAATGGAATGCATAAAGATAAATATCATAGGTATTAGTTAACTGAAATGGACTGGTATTGGCCATTTTGAATCAGACAATCACATGGTATGCTGGGAATGACACATTTAAGAAGAATCGTAACACATTCATCATCAAAAAGAATGTTTCGAGATCTACCCTGAAGTACAATACTGACAGTGATAGGATAATATTCATACAACCACAAGGAAAACCAGTTAATATTACTATTATTTAAATTTATGCACCTACCACTGAAGTGAAAGATGAAGAAATTAAAGATTTTTACCATCTTTTGCAGTCTGAAATCGACCACATATGCTATCAAGATGTATTGATAATTAGTAACTGGAATGTAAAAGTTGAAAACAATGAATTATTGGTAGTTGGAAAACATGGCCTTGGTGATAGAAATAATGCAGGAGATTGAAACAGAGGGTGGAAAAATGTATTCCAGGTGGTGGGAGCCGCACCTTTTACCACATTATCAGTGAATGGGGCCCCACTTTCCTGTTTTATTTGATGAGTGTCTCCAGCAAGGAAGATGTGAAAAATGGCGGTCTTTTTTGTCTTTCAGATCAAGAAACAAGCCCCCTACGCTCAGGGCCCTGACACCAGTGGGAAGGTGTACTCACCATAGTTGCCCAGAGCCCAATCTCCGTGGTCTCGCGAGGCCAGCATGCGCTCACGAGCCACCTTGTCTAGCACCTGCTTCGCCTTGCTGTTCTCGCGAGGCCTGCACACGCTCAGACGCTCTTGTTGTCGCTGCACCTCACCCGGACGGTCACGCGTCTCTATGCGATCAGAAGCTGGCTGCGAAAGCACGCGCGCGACTCCTTCGGCCGCAGGCGCAGGGCAGGGTAGGGCACCTGGACGACCGGTAGGAGCCCTTGCAGGCCAGGCGAGGGCCCAGGGATGCCACCTCTTATCAGCTTGTGTCGGCTGCGGTTCGGTCTTTTGCTAGTTCTGTTTTCCCTTGAGCTGGGTAACGCCTCTAGGGCAAAGAAACTATGCGGCAGGCACCTGCTGAAGGAAATAGTAAAACTCTGTGGCTTGGAAGATTGGAGTCTGTTCGAGGAGGGACCTTCTCACCATCAGTTGGTGCCCCGCGCTGTGGACGCAATGGGCGCCTGCTTCCGCGCCGGGCTCCCACGCTCCCCAGTGCCGTCCCCAGGCGGGGGCACAGGCCCACAGCCAGGTACACTTCTTATCCTCAAATCTGCTCTGCCAGACGGCCATCCCCCTAGTACACAATGTAAAATAACAAAACAAAACAGTATGTATTGAGTTTACAGAAAATCTCTATGAATCTTTCCTTTTTTTTTTTTTTTAACCTAGAAGCAATAAGCGTACACGTATGGGACTACTTACTGATTTAAGAAAGTTGCTGCTTTCCACGTTTTCCGTCTAAAGTGCCCTTGTCAGTTGGCAAACTTCTTATGCCTTTCAAAATCCAATTTCATTATCAAGTTCCCTTTGATAATCACTCCTGCCATATTTCTACCACAGAACCTAGCCCATAGTTCTGTGACGGTCATCAAAACCAAACCTCTTGCCATGATGGATTTCTACTCATGGTGACCACTCGAGTGACAGTGGAACTGCGCTATAGGACTTTCTTGGCTGTGATCTTTATGGAAGCAGATCTCCGTGCCTTCCTTATTTGGTGCTACTGTGTGAGTTCCAACCACCAAACTTTAGGTTAGTTGCTGAGCACATTGTAAGAATAGGACAAAACTGCACCACCCATTTACCCTAATTGCCATCAGGACTGTCTATATCATTTATGGGGCCCAGTATGAAGTGAAAATGCAGGATTCCTTGCTGAAAAATCAGGAAAGGACTGTTGGAAGTTACCAAAATAGAATTTTCCTCCTTTCTTCTGTTCATATGCATGATCCATAGTCTCATCTTACTTCACTTGAAGTTCACATATGTACATTTCACTTAAAAGTTCAAGGGTAAGAATATTGGAGTCCAAGACAGTGGGGCAATAAGCCAAATACAGGGTCCTTCTAAGCACTAGGCCTGTTGTACTGCACAGGTCTTATTGCATAAAGCCAACCCTGCATATCACCCCAATTACAGGGACTGTTTTATGCATGTTTTTATCTGAAATGCTGAGGGTCTACTACATAGTGTGTTGGTTATTAGGTGCCACTGAGTTGGTTCTGACTCATAGCGACCCTATATACAATAGAATAAAACACTGCTGCACAATCCTTAAAATTTTTGCTATGCTTGAGCCCATTATTGCAGTCACTGTGTCATTCCATCATGTTGAAGGTCTTCTATTACATAACCAAAAAAAAAAAAAAAATCTACTGCCATTGAGTCCATTCCAACTCATACTGACCCCTATTGAGTTTCTAAGTCTGTAAATCTTTCTGGAAGTAGATTGCCTCATTTCCCTCCCACAGAGCAGCTGGTGAGTTTGAACTGCCAACCTTCTGGTTAGCAACTAAATGCCTTACCCACTATGCCACCAGATCTCATTCTTCTGCTACACTCCAAAACAAAGAGGAGCTCTGGTGGTGTAGTGCCTAAGGACTAGATGGTTAATAAATATTAAATTTATACTTATTGTGGGGACAGTAGTGGTTCAGTGGTAGAAGTCTCACCATTTATGTGGGAGACCTGGGTTCAATTCCCAGCCAATGCACTTCATGTGAAGCCACCAACCATCTGCCAGTGTAAGATCTGTCAGTGGAGGCTTGCATTGTTGCTGTGATGCTGAACACTTTTCAGCAGCACTTCCAAAATAAGATGGATTAGGAAGAAAAGCCTGGTGATCTAATTCTGAAAACCAGCCAGTGAAAACCCTATGGCTCACGATGGTCTGATCCACAGCCCATCATAGAATGGTGTAGTGTTGGGCAGCATTGGGCTGAGTTGTGCATCAGGTCACCATGAATTGGGGGCCAATTCAACAGCAGCTAACAAAAACAAAAAACTTACTGCTTTTAATCAGTTTTTAGGCAGAATATTGTTGTTTCAGATCCATCAGTATCCTCCAACTATGTTATTACATTGTGTGACTAACACATTTTAGTCCCAATGTGGTCTACCATTTTAAGAGAAAATATACTTTATTTAAACATTGCCTTTTAAAGTAGCTTGATTTTTTTTTTTTTGACATATAAAAAGTCAAGAGTCCTGAAATTAAGGAATACATGTCAAAATAAAGTCCCTAATGTAGATGACTGAAACAGTAGTGCCTGGCACACAGTAGGCACTCATTAACTCTTTTTTTTTAATGAACAAGTGGAACTTATTGCTGCTTGGGGAATGAAAACTTTTAAAGACAGAAACCATCAGACTGAATCTTGATCATTTTCTATCGTCAGACTTACCCACACATAAATTCATTTTGTCCTCTTAGAATGGCAGAAGTATCTCTCCTATAATTCTTGAACTTTGGTTCACTGCTTCTCAGATTTTAATGAAGATCACATATAGTCATCTGAGAAATCCTGTTAATATCCAGATATTAAATAGGTCTGGAAGGGGACCAGAGATTCTGTAGTTTTAAAAAGGTCCCAGCTGATGCTGCTACTGTTGCTGCTAGCCAGTGAACCACAACTTTTGAGTGGTAAGGCTCTAGTTCACCTCCTCTCTCTTCCTTATTCTTTTCTCCTAGTACTACAAGGAGGGCTTTCTTCCCTTTCTGCTTCATGTTGGATGTTTTTCTTTTGTCAAATAATGTGTTCACTACCTATACTCAGTCCACATTTTACCATTAGACCTTCAAGCTTGTTATTTAAGAACAGTTTGGAATTCCTTTTCTCAACAAATATATCCCTGGAAACTATTTTCTTAATAAAAATGAATCTTTAAACTTCAGAGCTGATTAATGACCCCTTTGTTCTAGGTGTTAGTCATTCTCCCCCAGGCAACAAATGCCTTAACTAAGTAAATGGGGAACATCAGTGGAACAAGATTTGTAGCACATAAAAATATCTGGCAATATTTCAGAATGGTTATACCCATTAAACCTGTTACTACGGAACTTTGTAAAGGACAGTTTGAAAAGGTGGAAACATTTGTTGTTGTTGTTGATTTATCATAGTTTTGAAATATGTAGAAGAAGGAAAAACAAGTTTAGGCTTCCAATAGATGAATCTGTATTTAAGCTTTTAAAATTATTAATCTATAAGAAAAAAATGGCATTTAACCTGTCCCGATAATTTCCAGTAAATAATTGAGAAGTTATACAGTGGTATAAGATAGAAGTTGTTTCCAAGATAGAAGATTATAGTTATGTCACTTGAACAAGAGAAAAGATGTAACTAGTCGGGTAGAAGAACATCAAGAGAACGGGCATCCTAGAAACCACGTGAAAAAAAGTGTATCAAGGGAGAGTGTTTTTGTATAGTGATGTTCTTGTATAGACAAGAGATATTAGTCCATAAAGAACTTGGCTTTAACGTGGATATTCAACTGTAGGAATAGGTCAGAAGGCAGAATATATGGGCACAGATGTTAAGAAATAAGTTTAAAAAATGGTTAAGAGAGCAAATGAAAGTTCTCTTCTGGTTACTTCAGTTTTCTTATGAAGTAGAAAGCAAAGTCAGTGGAGTGTGACGTTGGGAGTCTATTAATGTGGTAAAATTATTGATAGATTTTCTGATCTGAACTTGAATTTCTGGGAGAGAGCAATTCTTAATTTTAAAAAATATGAGTTCAGTTAACTAATATCTCAACATTATATGTGAAATGGACTCATAGGCTATAGGCAAATATGTTCTTCTAGAAGAAATGGTAGATAGACTACTATCATGATGGAAGTTCAGCAAGCATCTGAATAGTTAGCTCCTGGTTATTTTTGTTCCTTTCAAATGAATTAAGAGCAGTCTGGTTGTCTGATTGTGAATGTTAGTAACGATTAGTTCACTATACCTTTAGCATATCACCACTCCTCCTCCATTTTTTTATATTTCAAAGAACAACAAAGTGGTTCTTACTATCCACTTAGTTATAAAATATGAATAAAGAGACAAACCAATTTTAAAAATGGGAAAAGAATTTGAAAAGACATTTTTCCAGAGAAGATACACGAATGGACAATAAGCACATGAAAAGATCCTCAACAATTAACAGTAAGTAGCAAAGGAGCTCTGGTAGCATAGTGGCTCAGGCACTTGACTGCTAACCAGAAGACTGGTGGTTCAAACCCACCAGCCACTCCTCAGAAGGAAGATGGGGCAATCTATTTCTGTAGTGATACTGCCTCGGAAACCCAAGGAGGGTTTGCTATGGGTCGGTTCTTGATTATATGTTATCTCCTGAAATGAAATCAACCTCCATGGAAGTCCAGAAATCAAGTGACATATTTATTTCATTGGGCAAATCATTTTTTTAAAGTGTTAAAGAGCAAAGGTGTCACTTTGAGAACTAAAGTGCACCTGAACCAAGCCATGATATTTTCAGTTACCTGCTATGCAAGTGAAAGTTGGACAGTGAATAAGGAAGACCACAGAAAATTTGATGCATTTGAATTAAGGTGTTGGCAAGGAATATTGAGTATAGTATGGATTCATAAGAATGAATGAATCTGTCTTGGAATGCTCCTTAGACTAGAATGGCCAGACTTCATCTCTTGTACTTTGGTCATGTTATATGAGTGACCAGTCCTTGGAGAAGACTATCATACTTGGTAGAGTTGAAGGTCAATGAAAAAGAGGAAGATCCTCAATAAAATGGATTGAGACAGTGGCTACATCAGTGGGCTCAAGCATGGCAATGATTGTGAAGATGGTGCAGGACTGGGCAGTGTTTCATTCTGTTGTGCAGAGGGTTGCTATGAGTTGGAACCAGCATGCCAGCACCTAACAACGACAAATGACTAATGATGTTGAGGATCTTTTCATGTGCTTATTGTCCATTCGTGTATCTTCTCTGGTTCTTACTATCCACTTAGTTATAAAATATTAATAAAGAGACAAATAAACCAATTTTAAAAATGGGAAAAGAATTTGAAAAGACATTTTTCTAACTCCAGGACTTTGCACATTTTGTTATAATACTTTACTTTGTCTTCTCAAGCCACCTTTGGAAACCTTCAATTCAGTTCTTTTACTTCATCCTTTTCCCCCTTTGCTATAGCTACTCCACATTCAAGAGCAAGTTTCAGAGTTTCTTCTGATATCCATTTTGGTCTTTTCTTTCTTTTCTGTCTTTTTAATGACCTTTTGGTTTCTTCATGTAATGTCTTTGATGTCATCTCACAACTCTCCTGGTCTTTGGCTATTAGAGTTCAGTGTGTCAAATCTGTTCTTCAGTTGGTCTCTCAATTCAGGTGGAATATACTCAAGGTCATATTCTGGCTCTCATAGACTTGTTTTAATTTTCTTCACTGTTGGCCCCTGACCTTGTTCTAACTGATGATGGTATTAAGCTTCTGTCTTTTCACAGATCTAATCGATTTGATTCCTGTGTGTTCCATCTGGCTAGGTCTATGTGTGGGAGCTCTGGTAGTGTAGTGCCTAAGGCACTTGACTGCTAATCAGAAGGCTGGCAGTTCAAACCCACCAGCCACTCCTCGGAAGGAAGATGGGGCAATCTACTTCCGTAGTGATACTGCCTCAGAAACCCAAGGAGGGTTCGCTATGGGTCGGGTCTGACTCGACGGCACCTAACAAAACAATAGGTCTATGTGTATAAGGCACCGTTTATGTTGTTGAAAAAGGATACTTGGAATTAATAAGTCATTATTCTTGCAAAATTCTGTCATGCAACACCCAGTGTCATTTCTGTCACCAAAGCCATATTTTCAAACTACCAATGCCTCTTCTTTGTTTCCAGTATTCACATTCCAATAACCAGTAATTACCAATGCATCTTGATAGCACGTTGATTGGAGAAGTTGGTAAAAAATCTTCACTTTCTTTTTTGGCTTTTGTTGTTGTAGTATAAATTTGAATAATAGTAGGAAGGAAGATGAGGCAATCTACTTCCGTAAAGATTTACCACCTTGGAAGTCCAATGAGGGTTACTATGAGTTTGAACTGACTTGATGGCAGTGGGTGAGTATCAACTCATCTTCCTTGTAGGTGTATGGATATATTCCTATCATTGGCAACATTGTACTTCAGGATAGATTTTGAAATGTTCTTTTTTAGTGATGAATGTGATGGATGCTATTCCTGGTCAGTTTTTTCAAAAGTAGACTGCCATGTTCTTCTTCCTAGTCTGTCTTATCCTGAAATCTCTACTGAAACCTGTCAACCATGAGTGACCCTGCTGGTATTTGAAATACTGGTGACATAGCTTCCAACATCACAGCCACATGCAAGCCACACAGTAAGACAGACTGACAGATGGTTGGTGGTCATTAGGGAAATGCATATCAAAACTGCTTCACACCCACTAGGGTGACGATAATCAACAAGTGGATGTTCTGGTTACCTAGTGCCACTCTGACAAGAATAAACCACAAATGGGCTGGCCTTATCAAACAGGAGTTTATTCTTTTACAGTTTAGAGGTTTTAAATCCAAGTTGAAAGTGCCAAGCTCTAGGGGCTGGGTGAAAGCCCCTCAGCCTTGGGTTTCAGCTCTGCCTCCAGCTCCTGGCCCATTGAAGCTAGAGGCTTTTCTTCACTCAGACAGCTTCTGGCTGCTGAGATTGACAAGCCCAAGGTTGACAAGTAAAAAGGCTTATTACCAAACCACATGGCAGTCCATTAATTCAAGTCCATTGTAAGTCCCCAGGTCAGCAGAGCATGGCAGGCTGCTGAACAACAACACGGTTACATGCAGGGTCCAAGCGTGCCATAAGCTGGAGACCATTCCCAAAGCTGCTTCTTATATATAGGAACCAGACCACATACCCAAAGCAGCTACTCAGCGCCCCAATAGATTCCACCATAGAGTTAATTACCAATCTCACCATGGGGAGTAACTATATCCAGCTGCCCAACCACTCAACCTGGCCTAGCCAAATTAACACACAAACGTAACCACCACAATTCCACCCCTTGTCAACTTGGCACCTGTACGTATCTTCAGTGAGTGGTATCTGAAGATACAGATCTCTTCATTGGGTAACTCCAGTCCCCTAATTCCTCTAGGTGGCAACCTCACCCCCTTGGCCTGGCGGGCCCCGTTCCTCTCCCTCTTGGGTATGGCAGCCCTGTCCCCTCACTCTTGGGCAGTGGCTATCGCTCCATCCCACTGGCTCACATGAATGAGCACCCTCACACTCCAGAACCAAGTTGGTGAAGGCCTGGCTCTTTGAAACCTAAGGGGCTGTGGTGGTTCCAGCCCCAAAGGCCATGGTCCTACCCTTTCAAGCTGAGGCAGCTCTGCTTGTTTTCTTGGTCTCTCTGCTTCTGCTGATTAATGCCGAAGGCAACCCACTCTGCTGGAAATCTTCCTGCCCCCAAAGGATTCAGCTTTCTCACTCCGTGGGCCAGCCAACCTGTTATTCCATTTCATGCCAGTCTTTTCTACCAATTAATGCCCGAAGGCAACCCACTGCCAGTTAGCCACCTAACCAAAGGCATCAAGCTTTCTCCTCTGTGTGCTGGTAAGGCTGTCGCTGTCTCATGCTGGTTCTCTCAGCTCTGCTCCTGCCGTCTCTCATGCTGGTCTCTGGGCTCTGCTCCTGCTATCTCTCATGCCATATGCTGGGGTCTTTCTGCCAGGGTTTTGGGTCAAGGATGCACTCCACTCCTGTTTCCACATTTTATGTATCTTTCAAAGCTGTACCCCACACTCTTGGTACCATATTCTGTTCTGGTTACCTAGTGTTACTCTGACAAGAATATACCACAAATGGAATGGTCCTAATAAACAGGAGTTTATTCTCTTACAGTTTGGAGGCTTTAAGTCCAAGTTCAAAGTGCCAGGCTCTAGGGGCTGGGTGAAAGCCCCTTGGAATTCAGCTCTGCCTCCAGCTCCTGGCCCACTGAAGCTAGAGGCTTTTCTTCACTCAGACAGCTGCTGGCTGCTGAGACTGACAAGCCCAAGATTGACAAGTAAAAAGGCACAGTCCCAATGTTACCAAACCACACGGCAGGCCATTAATTCAAGTCCATTGTAAATCCCTAGGTTGGCAGAGCATGGCAGGCTGCTGAATAACGACGTGGCTACATGCAGGGTCCAAGCATGCCATAAGCTGGAGACCATTCCCAAAGCTGCTTCTTATACACAGGAAGCAGACCACATACCCAAAGCAGCTACTCAGCTGCTCCAATAGATTCCACCATGGAATTAATTACCAATCTCACCATGGGGAGTAACTACATCCAGCTGCCCAACCACTCAACCATGCCCAGCCTAGTTGACACAAAAATGTAACCACCACAGTGGAAAATAAGAAGTGTTGGTAAAGATGTGGAAAACTTGGAACTCTTACCTGTTGATGGTGGGAATGGAAAAAAATGACGCTGCCACTGTGGAAAACAATTTGGCAGTTTCTCAAAAACTTAAACATAATTACTATATGATCCAGCAGTTCTAGATATAGACCCAAGAAAATTGAAAACATATGTTCACATACATACTTTTACACAAAAGTTCATGGCAACATTAAAAATAGAAAAAAGGAGAAATAACCCAAATATCTGCCAACTGATGAACAGATAAATGTTATATATTCATACAATGGAATATTATTCAGCTATAAAAAAGAATAAAGTACTGGTACATGCTATAACATGGCTGAACCTTGAAAACATTATGCTAAGTGTTAGAAACAAAAAAGAAAACCCTTACTCTGGTTGAGTCAAATCCAACTCATAGCAACCCCTCCTTGGGTTTTCAAGGTGGTATCTCTATAGAAATGGATTGCCTGGTCTTCCTTCCAAGGAGTGGCTGGTAAATTTGAACTGCTAGCCTTCTGGTTAGCAGTCAAATGCCTTATATTGTATGATTCCATTCATATGAAACTTCCAGAATAAATCCCTAGAGATAGAAAGATTAGTGGCTGGCACAGCCTGACAGTAGAGGGAAATGGGAGTGACTGTTAATGTTACTGGCTTTCTTTTTGGGTGAAATGTTCTGGAATTGCTTAGTGGTGATAGGTGCAATTCACAATGCTGTGAATATACAAAACCACTGAAGTGTAACTTTAAAATGCTGAATTCTGTGGCATGTGAATGGGCAAAGGTTTGTAAGTCTTTTTATAAGAAAACACTACCTACAACTATTTTAGTTAAAATTATGTCTTTTTAACACCCATACTTCCTTTCTTTATTTAAAATGTGGTTTCTTGCTTTTTTAATATTGGACTGATTTTAGTATTCTATTATCATTAAATTTCCATATAAAGAATATTTTAATGAAGTAGGATATTTTTCTTATCTCTTAACAGTATCTACTGCTGCCTCTATGGAAGAAGCAATAAATAGTTTGAAGTCACTGCCTGAATATCAGCATCAGAAGGCCAACTCCCCACCTGACAAGACAAGGCAACTTTCCTTACCACATATCAACACATATATTCACAAGATTCAGGATAAAAATACAAACAAAATCAAAACCTTAAGCAATTTGTTTTGGGGGAATCATCCCCAAAGAAAACGCAGAGGATATTCAGAAAAGTGCTGTCTTAAAGGATGTACAAAAGGTGAACTTAGCATTGCATGCCTTCCATATATTGATTATAAAAAGTTAGAAACTGACCACCAATTGTGACTGAGTTATAATAACACATCATAGGAATTATACTAACTTAATAAAAGCTTACTATATTTTACTTTTTTTTTTTTTTTTTTGGTAATTGTGCTTGTAGATTCTTTGCTGTGAACAATATCTACATGTACTGTGAGTACTTGACAATACTTTATGGTGATAACAGGAATCTTAGTATTTTCTTTGGTGACTTTTTTTTCCTTATTTTTAATATATTTTTATATTTGAAGATGTTATTTAAGGTGGCATGATCCATGTAGATATCTGAAAATGTCCTTTCTTTCCATTATGGTAGAAACTCAAGATGCATTTAAATAGCTTATGGACTATGCAATACTAAAAATTAATGTAGAATCTCCAAAACACCACATAACATGGATGAACTTGGAGGACATTATTCTGAGTGAAATAAGTCAATCACAGAAGGACAAATATTGTATTAGTTCATTATGGTAAAAAGTCAAGGAAAGGTTTATATATAGAACAAAACTTTCTTTGTTGGTTACCTGGGGTAGGAGGGGAGGGGAGGGAAATAAATAAAAGAAAAAAATGGATTATAGAATGTTCTACATTCCATCTCTACAACATACAGACTGATGCCCATTGCTTTAGGCTCAGTACAGTATGCCAATACATATGCCCCACCAACTTAAAAATAACTAACCAACTACCACTTCTAATAGAAGCTGGTGTACTGTAATTGTAGGTACATTTTGCCCTGCCTTTGCTTTGAAGGTACTGAAGGTACTGATGTAATGTCTGTCAACACATAATTCTGAAGATTGAGATGTCTGTACCAGTAGTTCTGAAAGTGTGGTTCCCAGCAGACCTATAAGCATCAAAGTTACCTGAAAACTTGTTAGAACTATAATGCTAAGGTCCACTCAAGACTACTGAATGAGAAACTCTGGAACTGGGTTCCAGCAATCTGTGTTTTTATAGGCCCTTCAGGTCATTCTGATGTACACTAAATTTCGAGAATCACTGGTAATAAATCACTATCTGAATATTGTTGAAATCCTGCAATTTATATCCTTGCATATCTCACACAGTACAGATGATAAAAGACCAAATGTTTTTTTTTTTTACATTATAGCCACATGTGAAATAATTTTTTAATGCTATAAATTATAACAAAAAATCCAAAAGCTGTACCAAATGTGAGTGACCAATATGGCAGCATTGAGGATGAGAAAGAC